AACCACTAGGCATACCAGTATCTGTGCGCTGGATTTAACCTTTAGGTGGAATTATTCAAATAATAACTGACATTAATGTTTTCATTCTTTTTTAGACTGTTATCAATAAACAGAATGAATGATCATTCAGTTTTAGAAATTTTCATTTGATTGATTGCACCAAAGCAAAAATTTCCTGGAATAAACATTACTGGCATTCCACTCCACTCAAGACCCTGAATGTTTTTTATCCCAATGGTTCACTCCCTTCCTGTTGGGTTTAAATTATTTATTCCCAAGTACATAATTTTTAAAAGCATGCCTCTTTCTTGGCTCTGTTAAAATGAAAAAGAATATTCAGAATAGAATTGTGCATTTCACTGAAGAAATATAATATAATAAAAATAAGAGTAGACAATGTATTGATAATTGCCTGTGCTAATTAGATATCAGTCCTCTGTGCCTCTGAAATAATTATAAAAGAAAGCAATTGCACAAAGGAAAAACAATCCTGGAATCTCTATAAAGTAGTCACTGTAACAGAAAAATCTACACCTTTCATAGCTGTATTTTATAGGGACACAGAAAATGGCGGGTGGGGATGAGACACAGAGCTAGTAGTTGGTTTTTTGGTCTGGAAACAGATTGCTCTATGTTTCCAGAGCATCTGTCATACAGTAAGTGAAGCTTGAGTTTTTATATATAAATAGAACTAAAAGCATACCATTGATTTCACAGTATGTAGGCTGAGGAAATAACACTTGTGTATAGGGAAGACGTCTTTCTTTTAAAAAGGATGAAACAGATTTTTCTACTTCAGTTCTTACTGATCCTTTCAGTCTAATACACTAATTAATCTCACATGCATACAGAATTTTAATACTTTTCTTATAAAACTTTACATGTTTAAATAAGTATACTACTGATAATTATAGACAAAATTTAGAAAAAAAAAGAATGCTATTAGCACCAGGACACACTACATTTTTCTACAGACATGCACCAGTAGATGCTGCTACGCATTGCTTTAAATGAACATTTATATCTATAAACTGATTAATTTACAGGCAGGTCAGAGATAGAACTTGAAAGGTAGCTTTGTGCATTTATAACTTTTTATATATTTACATTAACACTAAGTTTTTACAAAGAGAGACCATAGTTTTCAAGTGATAGAAAGCTTATGGTTTTCATCATTGTGCCTTGCTAAACATATCAGAGTTGGGTAATAAGTCATTTGGGGTAATTATTACTACAAGTTTCTAAAACAGGGTTGGGGAACTTATGGCCCGGGGTCTGGATCCAGCCCCCAGCTTCCCTGGGACTCCCCCTCCCAGCACCAGGGAGCCCACATTGGTGCTTGAGACCTGCAGTCTCCCACCCTTCCCTGCAGGGCTGGAGCACCAGCACCGGCTCCCTGCTGCGGGGCAGGAGCCCCCATGCTACGCATTGCTTTAAATGAACATTTATATCTATAAACTGATTAATTTACAGGCAGGTCAGAGATAGAACTTGAAAGGTAGCTTTGTGCATTTATAACTTTTTATATATTTACATTAACACTAAGTTTTTACAAAGAGAGACCATAGTTTTCAAGTGATAGAAAGCTTATGGTTTTCATCATTGTGCCTTGCTAAACATATCAGAGTTGGGTAATAAGTCATTTGGGGTAATTATTACTACAAGTTTCTAAAACAGGGTTGGGGAACTTATGGCCCGGGGTCTGGATCCAGCCCCCAGCTTCCCTGGGACTCCCCCTCCCAGCACCAGGGAGCCCACATTGGTGCTTGAGACCTGCAGTCTCCCACCCTTCCCTGCAGGGCTGGAGCACCAGCACCGGCTCCCTGCTGCGGGGCAGGACCCCCAAGCCTCAACAGCCAGAGTCAGGTAAGCTGAGGCTGGATCAAATCTATGGGATCTGACTGGAAGCGGGGGTTGGGGGAGTGGCTCTGTGCACTGCCCCTTGGCTGGGAAATGGCAGTGCAGCAAAGCGCATCCTGGAAGCTATTCTGAAAGGGTACAGAGAAGAGCGACAAGAATGATTAAAGGTCTAGAGAACATGACCTATGAAGCCAGGCTTCATGAACTGGGCTTGTTTAGTTTGGAAAAAAGAAGATTAAGGGGGGACATGATAGCGGTTTTCAAATATCTAAAAGGGTGTCACAAGGAGGAAGGCGAAAATTTGTTCCTCTTGGTTTCTGAGGACAGGACAAGGAGTAATGGGCTTAAAGTGCAGCAGGGGAGGTTTAGATTGGACATTAGGAAAAAATTCCTAACTGTCAGGGTGGTCAAATATTGGAATAAATTGCCAAGGGAGGTGGTGGAATCTCCCTCTCTGGAGATATTTAAGAACAGGTTAGATAGACATCTGTCAGGGATGGTGTAGACGGAGCTTGATCCTGCCTTGAGGGCGGGGGGGCTGGACTCGATGACCTCTCGAGGTCCCTTCCAGTCCTATTATTCTATGATTCTATGATTCTCCCACTGTTCTGATTGACCATAATCACAGCCAATTGGAGCAGCAGAGGATGCTGCCTGGGAGTGGTGGAGGATATAAAGCCATGTGCGTCCTTGGGGAGCTGTGCCAGATTCCACACTCCCACCCAGCTCCCTACTCCCAGACCATTCCTGCACCTTCCTTCTGCCCAGAATCCCACCCCACCCTGCTCCTACAGCCTGCCTAACACCCATCTCTCCCATCCCCAGCTCACTCCTACACCCCGTCACCCATACCCTGCACCTGCTCCACTCCTGCACCCTAACTTCCACCCAGACTCTCCACCTTCAGTCCCCAGCCCACTCCTGCACCTCTACCCTGTTCCTGCACCCTACCTTCTATCCAGTGTACTCCTGCACTCTCCCTCCCTCCCAGACTCCCCAACCCACTCCTGCATCCTCCCTCCTGCCCAGACCCCACACCCCAAGTCCACTTCCCAGCAGCCCCCTCCCACATCCTGAACCCCACATTTTTTGCCCCACCCCAGAGTTGGGAGCCCACAAAATCTACTAGCCCAGGCTCCCCCTAGGCTCTGGTGTGCAAGGGGCATGTGGGGAGTGTCTTCTCAGTCACAGGCCATATCAGTGAAGGTTGGTTGGTTGGTTGTTATTTGTTTCTCACTTTTGTGTGGCCCCTGACTGATTTTTCTGAGAGTCAGCAGCCCCCAACCCCAAAAAAGGTTCCCAACCCCTGATGGAAAACTTCATTCTTAACTCCAGATACTTAATCTTACAAACAAACTCTGGAAAGAAGCTCATAAAGGGCTTTAGGGTCCATTAAAATATGTATCAAGTTGGTACTTTTTTCTTTTCTTTACAAAATATTTCAAATTATAAAAACTCAGGGCACATTTACAGCTTCTGCTATAATGTCAAGTTCTTTTCCCAAGGCCACAAATATCGCCTTCACTTTCTGTGGGCTAAACTTCAGACGATTCTTTTTTCTTCAAGTCCTAATCTTCATGCCCTGGGAAAGCACTGTTGCTCCACCATCTGGATCTAATTGAAACAGAGTTGTAGATCATCCATATTCCAATGATATTCCAATCCAGATCTCCTCCAAAGGCATCCTGTACAAATTGGATAGGATGAGTGATAGAATGGAACCCTGCATGACAGATCTTGTGGAGTTGATGAGCAATTACCCAAAACCATCCTTTGAGACCTCACAGAGAGAAAAGAAAACAAAGCGGTTTGAAATCACCATTCCAGCTAGGATCCATAGGCAGTTCAATGAAATTTTGCATATAATATTATCAAAAGTTGCAGAGAAATTCAAAAGAACCACTAGGAGCCTCTCTCCATCATTTTGTAGAAGATACTCATTGGGATCACTATTTCTATGCCAAAAGCCAAAGACTCCCAACATCAGAGTTGGCTTGACACTACCTTTTCATTAACCTTTCTAAAAAAGAGAGAGGTTAACAATAGTGATAACTGGCCATTAAAGCTTCTGAAATTTCTCTAAACCATACATGTTACAAAGGGCTGTATGCAGGGGCCACTCTAAGGATATGTCTACACTACCACTATAGTTCGAACTAGGGTGGTAATGTAGTCAACCGGAGTTGCAAATGAAGCCCGGGATTTGAATTTCCCGGGCTTCATTTGCATGCTGCTGGGCGCCGCCATTTTTAAATGTCCGCTAGTTCGGACTCTGTGCCCCGCGGCTACATGCGGCACGAACTAGGTAGTTCGGACTAGGCTTCCTATTCCAAACTACCTGTACTCCTCGTTCCACAAGGAGTAATGGTAGTTCGGAATAGGAAGCCTAAGGAAGGTATTGAGGCCTACCCAGAATATGTCAAATGAGCACCAGTTTAATTGTAAGTGTAAAGGAAAGGCAGCATTGTGAGATACAGGAGATGTAAAATAAAAACAAAATTTGATTAGATGACCAACAATAACCCCGCTTTTAGAGAAGTAACTAACTCAGGGTATGTCTACACTACCACCCTAGTTCGAACTAGGGTGGTAGTGTAGACATACCCTATGACGGTCTGATTACTAAAAATGGCATATTAGGGTTCATTAGGAGGAGAATTTCCAGCAGATCTAGAGACGTTGTTATTCCCCTTTATTTGGCACTAGTGAGGCCACATCTGGAGTATTGCGTCCAGTTCTGGGGACTCCCCTCCCACTATAGAAAGGAGGGCAGAACAAGGAGCAATGGTCTCAAAGTTACAGTGGGGGAGGTCCAAGTTGGATATTATGAAAAACTATTTCACTAGGAGGGTGGTGAAGTACTGAAACGGATTACCTAGGGAGGTGGTGGAATCTCCATCCCTAGAGGTTTTTAAGTCCCAGCTTGACAGAGCCCTGGCAGGAATGATTTAGTTGGGATTGGTCCTGCTTTGGGCAAGGGGCTGGACTCAATTACTTTTTGAGGTCTCTTCCAGCCCTAGGATTCTATTATTCTAAAAAGTCAAAACCTTTTGTCAAATGGGGTAGTCCCACAATGACCAATAATAACACCTGAACATAAGAGAGAACTTTCTTTGAAAACTATGTAATTTGTCTTTCAGGTCCTGTGGGTGTAGGGTTGAATGAACTTAAACGAAAATTGTTGATCAGTGATACCCAGCATTATGGTGTAACAGTGCCACGTAAGTAGATGTACATTTTGTGAGGTCCTCATGCTGTATCAGGGTTTGTTTGTTTTTTATTTTTATGTCAACTTAAGGTCAAGATTGTCAAATATGAATATATGAACCCATATTTAGGCAACCAAGTTAATGTTACACATTTTAAACATCTATATCTGCTATTTCTATGTTTTGAATAAACATTGATTAAAAGAACTAGAAAAATTTTGGCCCAGATTCTGTGCAGTGGAATTTCACTATAAATTTGACATGCTTGATATCAATAAAGATTTTAGTAAATGATAAACCCATTTAAAAGCTCCTTAAGGCTGTGTCTAAACTACATCCCTCTTTCGACAAAGGGATGTAAATTAGATACTTTGAAATTGCAAATGAAGCAGGGATTTAAATATTCCATGTTTCATTTGCATAATCGTGTAATAGTGCTCTTTTGAGCAAGCGCTATTTCAAAAGTAAAAACACGGTCTAGATGCGGTTCTGTTGAAAATGGCAGGCTTTTTTGAAAGATCCTGTACACTCACTTTTGAAAAGGCCTGCCGTTTTCGACAGAACCATGTCTAGACCACAGTTTTACTTTCAAAACGGCGCTTGTTCGAAAGAGTGCTGTTATGCAATTATGCAAATGAAGCACAGGATATTTAAATCCCCGCTTCATTTGCAGTTTCGAAGTGTCTAATTTACATCCCTCTGTCGAAAGACAGATGTAGTCTAAACATAGCCTATGAGTTGGCATTTTGGTGGTGAAATGTATACCACCAGGAATCCAGTTTGAGGGAGCAGAATCTTACAAGGACAAAGGAAGAATTCCCACATTATAGACCTAATTGTTTATTGCATATATTCAGACATTGGTGAGTGATAATATACAATGGAGGGTTCTCCCAAATTGTTAGCTCCCAGAATGGGAAGGGTTTTCTCGTAGAGTAGCATGTTCTCTCTGCTATGATGTAACTGTTAGAGAATCATAGGTACAGAGTGATGATAGAGGCAATTCTGACCTGTAAATACGTCATTCAAATACCTAATATTTTGGCATTAGTAAAATGCATCCAATTTAAAAATCCTGAAACCTGATGGGATGATGTGCACTTTTGGAATGCTACAGCCAGTGGTCATAACCTCTTTAGAAAGGATCAAATGGGCAAAAGGATAGTAGAGTGGCACTGTGTCAAAATGGTATTACTTGTTTCCAGGTCACTGATACATTGATCTTCTATGTATCTGGATCAATGTCCTAATAGATAAGGCACAAGATGGGATGTTGGGCTTTGCTGCAGACCATCAGATCATACTCTGGAATGGGATGACTGCCTCCATACACTCCTATCTATAATGCATGGGGGGGTGGGGGGAAGTTGTGTAATAAGAGGGTACTTCAATTTGAGTGACATGCTGGAGGTCTCATGCTGCCAACTCTAAAACATCCTTGTAATTTCTAAACATTGTTGCTGACAATTTCCTAACTCGATAATTGTGGCAGCCAGCATAGGCATTCTATATTAAGCCATGTCTTAACAGAGGAAAAGGAACTCGCTATGCAACTAAAAATTAATGATAGCTTTGGTACAAGTGATTATGACTTTATCACATTTACAATGTGCAAGAAGAACAAAGTCCAGACCAGTAGTGTATATACTTGGTGCTTAAATAGAGCCAGCTTCACAAAGCTGAAAACAATTATGAACTAAATCAGCTGTCAGGAAGAATTTAATCAAAAAAATGTGGAAAATGATTGGGAATGAATTAAGAACATCCTGCTAAATTCCCAAAAAAACACAATCAAGGAAGAAGGCCTGTAGTGGCTTAAAAATAACCTGGTTTAGAGGGGAAGTGTAGGCATTTGTTAAAACTAAAAGGGCATGTGTAGAATAAAACAAACAGAAAAGAGGGGAAAGTTGATAATCAGAAGACAAGAATTGTAGAAAATTGACAAAGGGATAAAATTGACAAGTGCTACCTTGACTTAGAGCCCCAGGATGCGCTGGGGAGTAATTACTTTAAATGGCCCTGGGACGGAGCTATTTCAAAATAGCAGCAGTGGAGTGTCCACACTACTGCTATTCCAAAATAGTTATTTCAGAATAGGCGTTATTCCTCGTGGTATGAGGTTTACAGAAGTCAGAATAAGCCATCCATTATTTGGAATTTATTTCGAAATAATGGAATTGGTGTGTAGATGCTCTCATTGTTATTTCGGAATGAACTCTAGCAGTTTTTAAAAAGCTGATGCAGGGGTTTGATGGCCCACTAATGTTGATTTGCAATATTTCAATAAGTCTTAGAGCACTGGAGAAGTTCCAGAAGATTGGAGGAAAGCTAATGTGCCAGTTTTTTAAAAGGGTAAATAGGATAACTTGCATAATTACAGACCTGCATCCTAACATTGATCTCAGGCAAGATAATGGAGTGGCTGATACTGATCTTGATTAATAAAACTAAAGGAGGGCAATGTAATTAATGCAAATCAACATGGATTTATAGAAAATAGATCCAGTCAAACTAATTTGATATCTGTGATGAAGTTACAAGTTTTGGTTAATGAAGGCAATATTGTTGATTCTATTAAATATAATTTTAAACATCCCGGACAAAGAATATAGACCATGCTTATCCTAAGAAGCAGTGACTGAAAAAGAGTTGTTGGTTAAGGTGGATAATCAGCATGATCTCACAATATGTTACTGTGGTCAAAAATCAACGTGATCCTGGGAGAGGCATAAATAGGAATCCTGAGTAGGGGTAGAAAGGCTATTTTGCCTTTATATTTGGTGCTGGTGTGACTGCTCCTAGAATACTGTGTCCAGTCTGATGCCCACAATTCAAGAAGCATGTTGATAAATTGGAGCAGAGCCACAAGAATGATTATAGGGTTTGAAAAAAATGCTTTATAGTGGACACACTTTTAAAAATCAATATATTTAGTTCAATGAACAAAAAGTTCCAGGGTGATTTGATTATAGTCTGTTATTGTCTATGTAGGGAACAAATATTTAATAATGGGCTCTTTCAGTCTAAGAGAGAAAGGTGTAACATGATCATGGAATCATAGAATAATAGGACTGGAAGGGACCTCAAGAGGTCATCGAGTCCAGCCCCCCGCCCTCAAGGCAGGACCAAGCTCCGTCTACACCATCCCTGACAGATGTCTATCCAACCTGTTCTTAAATATCTCCAGAGAGGGAGATTCCACCACCTCCCTTGGCAATTTATTCCAATATTTGACCACCCTGACAGTTAGGAATTTTTTCCTAATGTCCAATCTAAACCTCCCCTGCTGCACTTTAAGCCCATTACTCCTTGTCCTGTCCTCAGAAACCAAGAGGAACAAATTTTCTCCTTCCTCCTTGTGACACCCTTTTAGATATTTGAAAACCGCTATCATGTCCCCCCTTAATCTTCTTTTTTCCAAACTAAACAAGCCCAATTCATGAAGCCTGGCTTCATAGGTCATGTTCTCTAAACCTTTAATCATTCTTGTCGCTCTTCTCTGTACCCTTTCCAATTTCTCCACATCTAATGGCTGGAAGTGGAAGTTAGACAAATTCACTCTGTAATTGAGTTGTACATTTCTAACAGTGAGAATAATTAACCATTGGAACAATTTACCAAGGTCATGATGGATTCTCCATTGCTGACCATTTTAAAATCAAGATTGGATTAAAAAAAATGCCATAGAAATTATTTTTGGGAAGTTTTATGACTTGTGTTATACAGGCAATTGGATCAGATGATCACAGTGGCCCTTTCAGAGCTTAGATTCAGTGGATGAATTCAAATGGTTTTTTTTTTCCCAAATTGGATCAAGTAATGTGATGTATAAACACAGTAGTCATATTGACAGCATCAATGCATTGCTATACTAATGGAACAGTTTATAAGAGTAGTGTGGGTGTGGATGTTATATTTACCATAAAATAATACCTATTACTAGGCTATAATAAAGAGGAAGGCTTTTTTCTCAAAAAATTCATGTTCATGAATTAAATACGTTTTAATTTGTTCTAAATTTAATTTTCATAAAAATGTGTAAAAT